TAAGCTGGTTCGTAGTCTCCTACTTATAAGAAGGTGACAAGGAGATGGTAAGCCTTGTTTGGGAGTAACAATATAGTTTAGGACAGCAGCAAATGCGTCCTCCCCATCTTGTAAGGATTTAGTGAGAATACCTTTGACAGTCTGAACTGCCCGTTCCACCATTCCATTTGATGTAGGGTAATTTGGACTTGAAGTAGTCGGCTTAATGTCATATAGTTTTGCAAAAACACTGTGGTGAGTGCCATTGTCTGAAAATATTTCTTGTGGCAGACCATTGATTGAAAAAACATTCTTAAGGGCAGGCACTACTGCACTGCAAGTTTGGCTATGAAGTTTATTTACTACAATGAACTTGGTAAAGTAATCTATTATCACTAAGAAATCTTGAGATCCCAGGGCTTTGAAGTCTATACCTATTTTTTGCCAAGGCAGTTCAGGGACCTCATGCGATGTGAGGGGCTATCTTGGATTGGATTTTTCATAGGATTGGCATAGATTGCAGTTTAGTATCATTCTCTCAATGTCTTGTGACCAACCTGGGTAGTAAATTGCTTCACGAGCAAGGTTTTTACAAGAGACAATTCCCTGGTGGAATTTATGTATCAGATCAAGAAATTTTTTTTTGAGGCTTTTGGGTAAAATTAATCGTTTATTATAAAAAAGAATATTTTTGTGAATAAAAATTTCATTTCGGATAGGCCAGTACTTTTTTACATCTTGTGAAATCAAGTTTTTGTGTTCCGGCCACCCATTCAACGTATAGTTACTGATTTCTTTCAAAACTGGATCAGTTTCAAATGCATTTAGGATTCTTTGTTCAGTTTCTGGTTGTACTGCAATTACAGACAATATTTTTAAGTTGGAGTCTAAAGTCCAAATAATCCGTATTGACACACTCCTTGATGGAATCTCGACTGAGTGTGTCTGGGATCTGCAATAGTTTACCTGGTACATAAATTAGTATAAATCTGTACTTCAGAAATTTAATTGCAAGTCTTTGTATGCGAGGAGACATCTCATCCAAGGGGTTTTTCAAAAGTCCAAGTAATGGTGGATGATTGGTTTCAATTATGAAATTTTCTAATCCAAGCAGATACTAATTAAAGCGTTCATACCCAAAAACAAGTCCCAGTAACTCCTTTTCAATATGGTTGTAGCGTTGCTGAGTTGGATTCAAAGATACACTAGCATATTCGACTGGGTGATTATCCTGGCTAATAACAGCTCCCAAGCCATACGGACTCGCATCGACTGATAATATTATTTCTTTCTCCGGATTGAAAAATGTTAACGTTGTTGCTGAAGAGACTAGATCTTTTAATTTATTAGATTACTTTTCCTGCACTTCAGACCATTACCACTCTGTTTTATTTCTAAGAAGATCACGGAGAGAATTTGTCTCATTAGATAGATTGGGCAAAAACTTGAAAAGGTACGCAATCATCCCCAGGACCATTAGGGGAGAGTCGGGTATTGGTGCGCACCTAAGCCACTCACCATATTTCGGAAAGTTTAAAAGGTCAGGATATTTTCCTGTGATGCATATCGATAGTTTGATATATAAGCTACTATATTCCCATGTCAAAACGGTACAGTTTGAATTAGGAAAATGACAACAGCCGATTTTGTAAAAAGTTGCATTGCGCACAATTACCATACTGAAACGGTTAATGGTGCGCATAGGTATGGTAATCGTGCGCACGCTAAGCGGTTGTAATGTATTGATACTCAAATGCATATATAACGACAAAAATTGTTGCTAAAGTGAAAAGGGATATGCTTTCCCAGCCATTCGCAAATTAGGATTAAATTTATGATTCAAGTTATTTGCTTCTGCAAATGAAAACGCTAATTTTCTAAACTGGACTGTAGAGAGACCATGAAAAATTTTAGCTAGATTTAGAACATGATCTTTCAATTCCTTTTCTTGGTTTGGGGAAAAGACGCAGTATTTACCAAGATGAGGTTCCGCAATACTAGCGCTAATATCAAATTCCCTTTTTCTTTTTCTTATTGAAGATTCCGGAATATTAAATCTTCTCCCAGCTGCTCGAATAGACCCTCCTCCCTGAATAAAGGTAATTGCGTTTCTCATTGAATCTGTGTCCCATGACGCCTTTGTGGTTTTGCGTGTATATCTGGACATCTTTAATAAAAATAAATTGTTGTTATGGGTTATGTATAGATATAAATAAAGTCGTCTAATAGTGCGCACGTCTGGTAATGGTGCGCACCTGCGCACCATTAGACGACTTGGCATTTTTATTTATTAGATTAAAAACAAAAGGAAATTAAACAAATCTTCAATAAATAAATAAACTTACTTATAAAGAAAAGTACGATGAACAAAACTGTCTAATCAGAATTTATTTATCGCCTAATGTGCAATACTTACAGCTTATTTTCTGGAGCCACAAAACAACACTGAGACAGGCAAATTTGCAGATTCGGCCATATTTAATATACAGCGTTGCCACTTAGTGTTAGTTAATTTTATGCGTTTACCACCTGATAAATAAACGGCGCGGGAATGGTTTTCATCCATATATCTCAAAGGGTTTTTCGTTTATCATGGTGCGCACCATTATCGAACGCGCACTAATATCCAACTCTTCCTTACTACTCTGTTTTATTTCTAAGAAGATCACGGAGAGAATTTGTCTCATAAGATAGATTGGGCAAAAACTTGAAAAGGTACGCAATCATCCCTAGGAACCTTTGTAGGTCTTTTTTATTTTTAGGTGACTGCATTTCAATTATTGCACGAGTTTTTTTTCAGCTGGAGATACACTATTAGAGCTAATGATAGAAAGAATCTAACTTCTCTGACACAAATCTTTGATTTGGAACGATTCAATGTGAGTCCACTATTTTTAATTTTATCCAGAACAGCATAAAGATTACGATTATGTTTAACAGTTTTTCCGAATAAAATGTCATCAAAATATGATACCACCCCCTCCAGACCCTCCAACAACTCGAAGATGAACTTCTGAAACATTTCTGGTGCGCAGGATACTCCATAGGGAAGGCGCAAATATTTGTATCTTCCAAAACAAGTTGTAATAGTGCACAACAAGGAGCTTTCATAGCTTAAGGGAAGTTGGAAGCATCCAATAGGTTGAAATATTTTGCGCTACTCAACTGTGAAAACAATACATCCTGTGTAGGGATTTCAAAAATTTCTTGCTTAATAAAGTTGTTAACAGCACGGGGGTCTATACATATGCTTATATCGTTACTTTCAGGCTTTTGAACCACGACAATTGGATGAACCCAATCAGATGGTTCTGTCACCGGTACAATTAATTGCTCCATCATTTCGTCAAGCTTGCATTTAACTTTTTCCTTGAGGGAAAGAGGAATTTTCCGGGGTGCACACACACTAGGTGAAGCATTGTCCATTAGTGTTATTCTAAATTGTTTGTTTTCTCTGTCTATACCTGTAAATACTATATCATACAATTTTACAAGCTGCAACAAATTATCGCCACTTTTATTTTTTTTCAGAAAAGTTAATATATTGGCAATATTTTAACTAGTTTTTTCTGGGATTATGCGAAGAGCACGAATTGCATCAAGTCCCAACACTTTTAGTTTATTAGAATTTAACACATAAAAAAAAAATTATATTGATTTTTGTTGTAAACACAGTTTAAATAAATTTGTCCCAAAACCTTAATTTTATATCCAGAATAAGACACTAGAGCTGAAGATACTTTTTCAAGTGACTCGTAAGGCATATTTAATGAATGAAAATCAGAGAGATTCAAAATGTTAACTTGACTGCCAGTGTCGATTTTAAACTTGATATTCAAACCTGAAATGTTTATTATTTCCAACCAGTCTATGGCAGTGATGTCCAAGGTAGTAATAGTCCACACTATTGAATTTGACTGACCACCACTTTGTAAAGTATTTCTAGGAAAACTGCCAGATTGACTGTGATCTTCACTACAATCAGAGTCATTAATACACAAGTTCCAAACTCACTAAATTGTTCAGTTAGTTCATGTATTTTGAGTCTTTTTCTACAAAAGTTGCGATAATGTCCCGTCTGTTTACAGAAACTGCATATTCTGTTGCATGCTAAGCACTTACCTGATTCATGTTGCAAACCACAATTAGAAAAGGCCAAGTTACCTCTAAATTGCTTACGAAAAGCCCCAGAACTTTCTCCAGAATATCCAGCATGTGCTGACGGTTGGTTGAGTCTATGAAAACTATCTGTTTGCTGCAAGCCCTGTTACCGATAAGGTCCAGCAGACGAAGTGCTAGCACCTTGATTGTACTGACCTGAGTACTGACCATACTGTTTAAACTTTTTCCCAATAGCATTTACTGACTGACTCTTCGCTGATTTCTTTTTGTGTGATAACACTAGTCTCCATAGACCTACAAATATTTAAGGCATCACTCAACTTCAGGTCTGGATATTGCGGTAGCTTTTCTTGTATGCGAGAGTCTTTTACTCCTAACACAATACGGTCGCGAATCAAGCCGTCCTTCTCAGCAAATTCACAAGAAGTCGCAAGTTGCTTCAAAGCTGTCACAAACTGGTCAACGGTTTCGTCAAGAAACTGCTCTCTTTTGAAAAACAAAACAAAACCACTGCGCGCTTTTACCGCTGTCACCATGTAATGTTTCTTGTTGTAATGGTCCCAAAGCAATTAACAAAGGATTCACAGTGGTTTAGTAAAGGGTGTATTAACACAGAGCATCATAGAACATGACAAAACCGCCCGACATGTTCTCATACACTGAGCTGTCGAAGGTTGGCGGTGTTGCCACTTCTAATAACGAACATACATAACAAATTGAATAGCGTACCTATATTAAGATTTACAAATTGCCAAGATACATAAACATACTAAAACCTATCAAGATTTTCCCCCAAAACCAGTATAATAGCATAATAAAAATTTTGGGAATGGAAAAAGTTTGGCGAAAATATAAAATTAGTAGGTACCTAATTGTGATAGACCATTTAATATTTTTAGATGGACACAATACAGAAACTTGGGCTAAAGACCTTAAATCTCAAGACTACGAACTATTGTGCCCCAATGGAGGTAGAGCACCAGTTAACGAATATGCCAAATGTAATTTGGCACATGCTCCACCACACATGGTATGTGAATCAAAATATGTATTGGGAAAAAAACATATGCTAAATGCATTTAAACTATGATATATTCTTTTTATATTTCATTGATACCATTTTTATGCAGGTTGTTACTTCCAATACCAAATCCGACTCATTAGTCGACGAAATCCGTAATGCTTTGATTATGGCGAGTACGCAGTTCACGGAAAGACCAGATCTTTTCAAACTTTTTGGATCGTTTAATGGCAAAAAAGATATGCTTTTCAAGGTAAAACTTTTAATTTTATAATTTCCGACTAAATATATAATTTTTTATTTAAATAGGATTCAGCTACAGGACTAATTTCCATTACAGGGGAATCTGAAGTGCAGAAGGAATATTCTCGACTTTTGTCTATTGTTAATGCTTGCCATTAAAAAATTAACGGTTTAAGAAATAGATTTAAGAAATTTGAATAATAAAGCTTTACTGTCAAAGACATTTTTGTTTACCTAATTTAAATTTTGACTTTCGTTTCATTTGCTAATTAAGATCGAACACTAAGGGATTTTTTATTTATTTTTTTTCTCCTACATATCTGAGTTTACTAATTCAACCTTATTACGCCTCAAGATAGACGACGATAACGCCGCCTTTATGCATTAACCTCTGGCGTCTGAACCGGGCAAAATTTGACGGTAAAATTTGAAAACTTCCCTCAATCCTTAATGGTAAAGCCGAGTGTTTTGTAAGTAGGTAAAGTGTTAACGTATTAGCTGGCGGGTATAAAACTAGGCCAAAAATCTGCTCCCTACCTTATATTAGGTAACTTTCATCGTTTATTTTGAGACAGAATTTAATTAGGTATTTCAAGCAAATTACAAAAAGTATTTATCCTTCTTAAAAAATATACTCTTTTGCTCCTGTTTTTTGGTCTCAATTACAATTTTTACAAATAACAGCAGTTATTTGAACTTCAAGATAAGAGAACCTAGGGTCGTGGAATTCAAAAAATTAAGGTAACGTGTAGCCCCTTTATGTGCAAATGAAACCACTCAAAATCCAACAAACAAAAATTATTTTATTTTATTTACAATGTAAATAACAGTTTGTGGTAACAGAATATGTTACTTTCTTTAAAATTTGATAGTTGACAGCTTGGTTGTTCCGGTGAATCTGATACAATGTACCTTTTCAATCCGGAGCTCTTCAATGGATGTTGGGGTTTCACTTTTATGAACTGGAGCTCTTCGAGTTGTTACTTGTATCCAGGAAAGAGGATAGATTGCTGGGGTGACGTTACTCCAGACTCCAAACAGTGATCTTTATGTCGAGTAGGTACCCAGAAAAAGAAAAGGCAGTATCAGGTTTACCAAGATTTGGAATATTAAATCCCTGAATTCTGTCAAAAAGAGAGTGTCTTGCAAAAAAAATTTAAATTGAAATTTAATATAAAACTATTGTTGTGCAGACACTTCTTTCCTATAGAATCAGGTAAGTATGAGCGACTATTGTAAATTGGAGAAATATTTTAATAAAAAAAAATACAATTAAATAATTGAAAAATAATCATAAAAATAGATAATAACAGCAAGATTAAATTAAAATGCTCGCTACAAGTTGAGTAGAGTGCTGCTTTTCTGTCAGTAGCAATAACAGGCAAGAATAAGAACAAAATCAGATTAAAAAAAAATAAGAAATTAAATCTCTAGATTCTCCCCCAAATAGACAAAATTTTCCTTTTAAGTTAAGGTAGCCACCATAGGTACTACAAGATAAATCTGAGGGTGGAATCAATCAAATCCAGAATATGTCAAAATTCTTGAGATGTTTTCATTGAAACTCTTTAAATGAATTTTTTTTTGACATGTCTGGATTTCTATTTTAAAAAATTACACCCTTTTTCAACACTCTTCTCTTTGAGAAGGTAATAATTGAAGGAGTCGAACAGAAAATGGCTATACAGGCCTCTGCCTGGATTCAATAAAGAGTTGATAGGGATGGACACACAAATTTGATTTTCACCGACTCTATTTAGAGCAAATCGTCCAATAATCCCACAGTAACAATTGATTTTGAAAACCAGAGCAGCAGTACCTATCTATTAGCTCAAAAATCTGAATTGACTTACCTCAAAAACGTGGAACCACCAATCACACAAAATAGAGACAAAAAAATTAAAATATGATATTTATATTTCAAAAATAGATAAGATAAGATTTATCAGGTAAAAACTCAACAATGATATGATAGTATGCACTTATGACAAAATAAAATGAAAAATTATAAGGGAGAATCTAAAAATGTGAAGGAAAACCTAAATAAAAATGACTCGCCTGCTAGAGCACTGCTAGAGAAAGAGAGCGTTTTAGAAACCAAACCAAATGATTAAAAATTCCCATTAAATTTAATATCCGGTTAAATTCAAAGTTGGCGTTAAATGATAGTTTATGAAAATCTAAGATGGGAATGTAAAATAGGTTTTCCTCTAAAATTAACCGTTTAGGTTTTACAGCCTGTCAGAGTTGTAAAAAGTCAATTTTCAACTGTCAATATTTCAAAAACAGTTGAACTTAGGTATAGGGTATATCACATGAAATCTGCTCAGAATTTTACGTAGAATTCAAATATGCAATCACATACAGGGTGTTCTATTTAAAATAGCGATGTTGCCACTGGTTTAGACTAGAAGCGGCAACACCGCATAAACAAAAATAATTTTAAAGTATAGATTATGGTCGTTCATTCAGGTTGCCAAATTTTCAAAATGATTCGCTTTTTAGTTCTCCATAAACGTCGAATACGCCATCCACCGTGGGACACCCTGTATAGATTAGTAGAACCAATGTCTTGACCTTTATATTTTTCGAAATACATGCTATATGCTATACATTTTGGGAATAGATAACTCGGGGTATGTAAATATTCTTTTTGCGGTACACTTTCGGCAATAGTTACTCAAATTTAGAGAAAAGCTCTATGTGTTGTTTAATGGATTCACGAATTTTTTCGTCTCTATTTTTCTGATCTTCAGTTCGTCTTTCCCTTCTCTCCGTTTCAACAGCACCTGTAGGCTGAAGTTTTTGTGCTAAAGTTCTCATGAATTTTTTGGATATTGATGGCGTGTTTAAAAAAAAAAAAAAAAATTGCAAACAGGAACGTTTTCCCTAAAAAAGGGTAGACAAATATACTCAAACCTTTGTTTTTTTTTTGAATCTGTTTTTTTCATTTTTAGATTAGAAATTTTGACATGACGGCAAATATACTCTCTTTGGTTTTGTAAATTTTCAATTTTATAAAAATGATTTAAAATTTCTTGTCTTTGGTCATCCGTAAAAATATAACCCAAACTTTTTGCCAGTAGCTGCTTTTGCAAACAGGTTTCAAGGTTTTGGGAGGACTGAGACTCATTGTACCTGGAACTATATAACCTCCAAGAATTTTTTTCTTCTTCGCTTCAATTTTCATGGAACTCTTTGTTACTTTTTGTTTCCTTTCAATTATTTCTTTACAATTACCTTCTACCTCGAAACTATCAACTGTCAATTTAGGAAGAACGCCTGTTTCCATTGCAAAATATCCAATATTAGGTCGGTACAAATTTTGATGAAAAGAAAATTCTTGAATGTTTAAGTCAAAATGGTCCAGCATAAAAGTGCTTCACATTTATAACATACGCAGAAAAAACTTCAGAACGACAGTTTAGGTATTCGCAGTGTTCTTTTTGATAATGATCGCTTTCCATAGACCTAGTTTTTTTACATTTCGCTACTAATTCACCTTCTAACTCAAAACTCTCATGAACTGTACATATATCGTTCCTACAAATAAGTGATTCACACAACCAAAAGCCACAATGACATTTTTTGAATGACTTCTTACAACACTTTAAGATCTCACATCCAAGAATGTAATCCGGATCTAAATCCGAGTCATCTGAGTAATCCATTCTACTTTCAGATATGTCTAAAACAAATTTGAATAATAAGAATTTGTATTATTACAACTTACCTCCTGTAGCTTTTCGAATAATAACATCTTATTATCCGTATCCATTTTGTTGTCAGAATTTGAGGTGCAGATGTTCTCTAAATACAAATCTTTGGGATTTTTGTCTATGTCTTGATTCGTTGTATTATCTAGATTACAAAAAGGGACACTAACAATAAGGAAGTTGAAGTTCTTTTGGTATAGAAAATAAAATTTTGATTTTATTATGTTTTGCTACTAAGAATGAACTTTACGAATCAAACTTAATATAAATAAATGGTTGACTTACTACTATATGATTTAGCCTCATGGGCGACTACTGGCTTGTTTAAACGTCGTTTAAGTTTTGAACAAACTGCTTTATGAACGCGGATCATCTCCATTAAAATTGCATGTAAACTTTCCAGCGATCCGTTGGATTGTGGGTGGCTTACGCTTGAAATTGTCAAGTTTATGTCGTAGAGTTGACAAAGGTCTTTGAGTAAGCCGTTGTTGAATTCACCTCCACAATCACAATGAATTCTTAAAGGTGTCCCGTAATGTTGGAAGAATACTAGTAAAGTGTTAACAATTATTGTGGACGCTTTTTTGTCTGAGATTAGGTTACCTTGAGTGAATTTGGTAAGTTCATCCCTAACTTTGGTTAAACCTTGCCAGGAGTATTTGTCTTTAATCCTTCTAACGGTTTCATTGATTCCACGATGTAAATTTGTTTTTCCAGTATGATATTGGTCCAGGATAATTGGAATTTGGTCTTGATCTGGGGTTTTGACGATATTTTGGCATATCTTAAGCTTAATGTCTTTTTGGGCAAATATAAAGAAAAATATTTCAAGAATAGGTAATTGGTAATTCCAGATTGTTTTCCATGCAAAAGGTTTGTTCAGGGTCAAATTCGTTTTGACACTTGAAGAGCGATTAAAAGAGAGTAGGGGCTATTTTCTCATTTTTGCAAGGAATGGGAATTATGAAGTATTTGCGTGCTTTCACAGATTTGCTGGATAAAATGCTAACCTGATTAGGTTAAAAATCGAAATTTTCCTCGAATAGATCATCTATAATTTTGTAATGTAAGTCTGTTAGTTTGGTTTGCCAAAAGGATGTTACAATATTTTTGTGAGACTTGTCCAGAAGTTGTAGGTTGGAAATCTCTATCTTCGAGTAGTCAATAATTGATCTGGTTTTGTAGAGATTTACGAAGGAGTTGTATTCTTCCTCAATTAGGGTTGTTTCTTCATTGTTTTCAATTCCGACGATTGGAATTTCTTGTTGTTGTTGACTTGTAGAGAGGCGGTTTCTTATATCGTCAATATCAGGTTCTTCTTTGTTAGAAGCGAGTATGTGAATTTTAAAACTTAAATCTGAACAATCTTTAAAGTGGTTTACTTTTATTCGAGATAGGGCGTTCTTATTGATTTTCCCAGATTTATACTCGATTCGATAGTCGTATTCTTCGAGTTTCAAGCGCCAGCGAGCTAAACGACTTCCAGAGTCTTTAATTGAGAAAAGCCAAGTTAAAGGGCGATGGTCTGTGATAAGGACAAATTTTCGACTAAAGAGATAAGGTCTAAAATGTTTAACTGCCCATACAATGGCCAGTAATTCTCTCTCTATGGTAG